CTACCTGAAATCCCCATATCAAAGCATTTTATTTGAGTCAAGATGGTTTTATAATGAAGGTATCCATATCATTAATAGAGATGGGCATAGGTCTTATTTTGACACTGGAAAGAAGACTGGTGGAAAGGTCTCAGTCTCAGTGGTTTTACATTATTATTCTAAAAATCACAATAGTTAATAAACAGTGTTGTAAAAATTATAATTTATTTTAATAATAAAACTATTTCATATAAATAATGGTATTTATTTTTTTTACCACACAGAACCTTCGTAAGTTCTTCCTAACAAAATTTAATATGGTTTATAGTAAACAAAGGTGATATACTCACATTTTCATTGCTTTTTAATAAATTTGCATAGAATAACCTATTTTTTAATATAATATTATATAAAAATTAATCTTATCTAAGTATTGGTACTAATACTGTATTGTAAAACTATAAGATTTAATTAATAATTTCACTTCTAGAACTATTTTATAATTAACATCTTTGTCCACTTATCCCTTCAATTGCAAGTAGCCATAATTTTACAATAACATGTTGACCATGAATTGTGAATTTTGATATTGGATTACTGAAAACATGTAACGGAAGACGCTGACTCCACTGTATAATTGTTATTGCTGGTCAAACCAAGGTATCATCTTCGTACTTTCACTCAACAAACTTATTTTGACCATCCTATAAAAGCCCTTGCCTTTAGAATAAGTATTAATAAATAATTTATTATAATTCTCATCATAGTAATGTAATCACTTCGTTAAGGAAGTCAGTATTGCACTGAAATAGTTTTAATACATTACTGTAATGTAATAGTAATAAATGTCATCGAGTCATATTTAGTTATTTTAAAAAGCTTCAGCACCGCTCCCAAAACCTAATTAGCAAGTAAACAGGTAAACAATAACTAATACTAAAACTAAAAAAAAGATAAATTTAATTTAGATAAAATAACTTGTATATTTAATGAATGGCCCTCATGGTGAACACTCACATATGCCTCTTCCTGCATTTTTGGAGCAAGAATTTTTATGTGTGTGCAGTCTATAGCTCCTATTGCATCAGAAAATGGTTGTGGAGCATTCCAAAATTTTTCTATAGCTGCTCGCCGCTCATCATGGGTCATAGGGAATTTTATATATCTTCTCAATAATTTTTCATTAATAGCCTCGGTTACAGCATGTATAACTCGGCTAACCGATTTTTGGCTCAAGCTGCAACCCAACAGGTAGGCAGGCCAACAGGTAGCTGATAGCACCCACTTGCATAAAATCGAAGTGCTGTCAGTATTTATTTAGAAGAAAATGAAACTAAGAGTTAATACAAACGAAAAAGAGTAAGTTTTAAGATGTATATAGGCAATTACATGATGACACTCACTTGGGACTCCACAGAAAGTCCGTACGGCCGTTGTTTTTGAAGAGATGGCCGAAGTACACCTACGAGCTCGGTAAACATATTTTTTGTAATTCTGTAAAGGCACAGGAATTCACTATCCTCTAAATCTAAGAGATTTTCACTTTCGCGCCGGTTTCCGCATAACCATAACACGCCTGTGTTCTAGTTCTGACAAATCCCATGCAAAATATGATTCCGCCATAATTACTTAATACTTTTATAACTTTATATTATAATAGATTTTAAATTTATAAAACTCTGACACAACTTTTTAAACAGCTTATGATCGTAACGAATACTTAGCGGGCTGTCAAAAATGCTAAAATAATCGCTAACATAACAAGTAATTGTAAAGTTTATGATCGCTACCGATATAAATCGATAGCTATGACACTAGAGACTACCAAAAATTGTTATATTTGGATCGTTATGACTTAACAACCGATATCGGTTGTAAAGTGATCGTTATCTATGTCGAGACTGCGGCCGATGATCTCGAACACTAACTAATTTATGAAATTTTAATATTTCGTTTGATTTAGTGGCCTGAATACAGCTACTGCATTTAATCAGTACACAAATACGTCTAACAACAAACCCTACATGTACCCTATTACTTGCTCGAAATAATCTGTATATTCTGGATTAATTAATAAAGAAATTTCAGTCTATGTTAAAATACCATGTGGAACATTGCTTATAGTATCACACTCATTGTCATCTTCTGCTCGCATTTGAGACGTAGTTTCAATTATGCATTTGACTGCAGAAGTACAAGTTAGAATGCCCACGCTTCCTAAAGGGGCACAATTACCAGAATCAACTGCTTTGAGTTCCATGTGGCATAGAAGCTTTCTAAATATTCCCTTAAATTGTCTTGCATTCGGGTTATCGTTGTAACCTCCATCCATTCGTACAGTTACAAAAAATAATTCAATATTATCCTGGCTTAAAGGGTATGTTTACAAATATTTTAGTTTTTGGGTGGGTATAAGGGTGTCATACAGTTTTTTAAGCTCTAAAATATCCCTATAAAACCGGTAAATACTTGCGATTTCAAAACAGATGCATAGTTTTCCTTCTTTGTAACTTCGAAACTTTAATACTCAATTTCAAGATATATTCTTTTGCTTTCTCTAATAAATCGAATACTTCCTCTTTATTAAATATTAATAATGGATGGCAAAAACCGTGTTGGCTTAGATTTCTACTATTGAAAGCAACGAAAACATTATTTATTAACATGATGAACTCTTCAGTATCTTTGCTATTTAAAACCATTAGCTGTCCTACAATATAATCAAAACATGTCAGGCGTAGACCTACAAGATCAAATGCTCAGCTATTACCCCTGTGAAAGAAAAACTTTAAGGTGGTATGCGAAAATTTTCATACATGGTATAATGATGAGCATGATAAATGCTCGACTACTCTACAACAAATTCTCAGACAAGCCTAGCTTATCGTTATATGATTTTAGAGAAAAAGTCATTGAGTCATTTTTGCCTGAACGTCAAGTTGAGCCACAAGTGTCGCAGGCGTCGCAGCAATCTAAAAACCACAGATTGACTAAAATAGAGAAATCTTGAGAGAGCGTTTTTTCAATACTGGTAGAAAAGCTACTGTAACGGCCAGAAAGGATTGTCAAAATTGTTATTCGAATAAAAAAAGGGTAAATACTACTATGGAATGTAAGCAATGCCCTGATCCTCCCCCGTTTTGTATTGATTGTTTTTTCGACCTGCAATTTATTATAAGAAGTGATTTTGATCTCTATTAAAAGTTTATTACAAAATGCATATTGAATGTTTTTTTTTACTAATAAAAGCCTATTTTGCCATGTAAATACAAATCACGCGAATTCGCGTTACCGTCCATGTGGGCAATATGTATATAATAAATGCGTCCCGTATGGTCGATCATACGTTTTCGCGTGATAAAAATATACACATATATTTATGAACTTATATATTATATAATGGTAGATTCCTTATATAAAAGCATTACTGGAACAATAAAAACCACATCCAACGATTTTTTTTAATTTGGCCATCTATGTAAGTTCAGCATTTTGGCTTGGCAATGAACGTGTTAATAATACTACTTTTTTGAACGCCTGTTAGCCCGTGAGTAAGGAAATAGGCAACTGGTAATTTTCAAGGCTCATTAAGAGAGACCAGTATAAAAACGTTTACCTCGGAAGCCATTCTGTTTATATTTTGAATGAATGAATGAATATACTTTATTGCACACCACAAATAAATTTACAAAGAACATAACAGAGAGCAGATTACATGTACAATTTGGCGGCCTTATCGCTACATAGCGATCTCTTCCAGGCAACCAAAGGTGTAAAGGAATAAAACAGTGAGTACTAGGTAGGTGGTGAAATATAAATATACCTAATATAATATCAATACATGCAATAAAATAACATATAAGGTAAATAACTAATACATTAAAAAATATGATACACATATACATAGGTATATACATAAACATACACACACACATATATACATATATATATACATATACATACATATATATACACACATACACATATATACATACATATATCCTCAAATATATACCACTAACAATAACATAAACAAATAAATACAAAACTACATAATCACATAATTTATCCTAATGATTTTCGAACGATTGAGACAAGTAATGCTCTTTAAGAAGTCGCTTAAAGACTACAATAGTCTGAGCTTCGCGTAAATACAAAGGTAGGGCATTCCAGAGCTTAATAGACTGTACAGTAAAAGATTTATTAAAGAAAGATGTATTGTGAGTTGGTACCCTTAAAATGAGTTTTCTTGAAGAGCGTAAAGGTTCCCCTGGAAGCCCAACAAAACTAAATTTCTCCTTAAGATAAGGAGGAGTAGAAGGGTGAAATAAGACACAGTACAGAATAGAAAGAATATGCATGTTCCGGCGAAATTGGATAGGTAACCACTTGAGACGTGAGCGAAATTGGGAAATGTGGTCAAATTTGCGCAATCCAAATATGAACCGAATACTAGTATTTTGAAGTCTCTCAAGCTTAGTTAGCTGGTCTTTAGTTATGTCTACATATTTTCATCGGGACCAGAACCCATGTCAACAAGCCCGTCGTCTTTATGAGTATTATTGTTCCAATATTTTTTGCTGTCTGATTGCCATTCATCTGCGATTAGTGCGCAAATATGTTTTTTTTTTCAGATTTTTCTCTTTTGGATTTCAGTGTTTGAAAGGCATCTTCAGGGAGTCCTGGGGAACCGTCGATATTGCAGTACCATTTAGTCAAAGTTTTGGGTGTGGGAGGCATGTCTCAAATTTTATTCTGACAAAGCTATAAGCACGTTTTGACAAAAAGTGCAATGTCAAACAAAATTTCCGAAATTCCGGGGAGCACTTAGCAGGCCGTTTACCTTGACCCTTTATTTTTTGAAATTTGTTAGTATAAATCAGCGGCAAATAAATTTCCTTCTAGGACATTAGGTATATCTTCATTGATCAATCTTTGTTGTTTCAAATTGATAATACATTTGAAAGAGATATTTAGCTTTTTTAGACGAATATTTGTAACTTAATGAATTAATGTTAGCCTTATGTTTGCATTCCAGTATTATCTTGCGACGTAATGTACGCCGTAACTTTGCGTGGAGTATCAAATATTGATTCCAAGCCTAAAAAATTTTGTAAAACGATCGTGGGCTCACCATCATTACTCATCGGCTCCTTCGAGCACGAATGTTTAGGTTCAATAATTAGATTTTGAATATCAATCGCCATATTAGAAGCGGACGGATCCTGTTAAAAATAAATGAATAGTATTACAAACATACGATTATTATTGTAAAATTCTTTGAAACTCTTTGAGACTCTCTGAAACAAAGATTTACCCACGGTAGCTAACTGTGAAGGATGGTGGTGAGAATCACCGTTTAAATATCTATCTGTATGGGTTCTTTTTCTATACACAGTATGGCTCAAGGTGTTATCAGGATTCCGAATTACTAACACATCTAGAAAAGCTAAAGATTTGTTTGCCTCTAACTACATTGTGAACTGAATTTTAGAATTTATAGAGTTAAGATGGTCTACAAATGCAGATACTTTATCTAAAGGTAGAATTGTGAAAGTGTCGTCTACGTACCGCTTCTAGAATCTTGGATTTATGGGAGAAGTAAGCAGGGCTCTCTCCTCAGTCTTCCATGAATATGTCGGCGACAATGGAAGATATAGGTGAGCCCATCGCCACACCATCTACTTGTTAGTAGAACTCCTCCTTCCACAATAGGTAGCCAGATGTAAGGCAGTGTATGAGTAATAATGCATATTCTACGGGCATGTTGTTTTCTTCTAGCCTTCTAGTTACAATTGAGATGCAGTCTTCAACAGGTAAGCATGTAAACAATGACTGCACATCAAAACTGACCATAATTTCATTGTCTGCCAGTTGTAGGCCTTTAATCTCGCTGACAAAATGGTATGAATCCTTAATGTGTGCTGTTGTATGTCCCCTGAGCGGCGAGAGTATTTTCGCTAAGTGTTGAGCCAATTTGTAAGTTGGTGAATCGTTTTAGCTCACTATGGGACGTAATGGAGCATTGGGCTTGTGTATTTTTGGTAACCCATACAACTTTGGTGATTTGGCGCACGTAGTTATTATCCATTTTACGTCCAGATTTAATTTTTCGGAGTGTTTCTTTATGAGGTGACTAGTTGTTTTTAGTGTGCTATTTGTTGGGTCGTTTTTAACCTTTTTATGAGTACTTACATCCGACAATAGTTCTTGTATTTTAGAATTATAATAGGACGTATCCATGACCATGACATGTTTTTAAATAAACAGTCCTCGATACTACAGATAATTTCTTCGTACGGTAATCTGCGTGGTGTTATCGCAAAATTGAGGCCTTTGGATAAAACCATTCAAGACACCTGTTCATACTGTGTAGATCGAAACAAAAGTTATATTTTAATCTATGGTAACCGCGGTTAACTATGACATCTGGACGTTAAACATCTCAGTCCCCCCCCCGCCCCCGTGACAATTGGTGCTGTAAAGCGCTCGAAACGTCGGGTATTTAAAAAGTTAAATACACGCGATAAAATCCGTAAAAAAGTAGTATTATTTCAATATCGTTCCTTGCTTGGTAGCGATCCATTCTTTAGCCATCGTAATCCCTTTTCTGTAAAATATAAATCACCACCAGAGAAATGATCGGAACGTATGACTGAAGACTTTTGAGGTTTCCGCTGGTCTTCATTTCGTGTCTGCTGTATAATGTTTCTCCAGCAATTTGCTACTACGGAATCCGTAGGAAAACTTAAACCCAAAATATTAAAGAGAACTAAAAAATACTATTTAGTGCATGACGTCATGTGTTTCATTTGTCTTGTGTTTTTTTATAGGATAGGGTGACAAACGAACACACAGTCCACCTGATGGTAATTGGTTGCTGAGGCACATAGACATCTACATCTATCCTCGATTACAAATCAAAATACAGATGCGTTGTTACCCGTGAGGACTAAGATGGAATGCCTCGTTTCCAGTAAAAGGGTCTCCGGTTCTCTACACTCACCATATGAAACACATCAGCATTAAACTACTATTTTACGTTGGTATTCTGTGAGAGCGTGGTCCTTCTCCGGTCGAGCTACTAATATAACTGCAGCATGGCTCACGTATAAAAATTATTATAAAGATTAGTATAGGTAATTTATCATTTACTGATCAAATAAATTAAGTAATTTTTAAAATAATAATGTTCTCCTGATCGAAGGATGATGAAATATTATTGGTTTTTCATCTCCCATAGTTTCGCCAAAACTCCCTAATAAGCTGACAACACCGGCTAATCAAATCAGAGTAACGAATTAAAAATCGTGTTTTCTTAAAAAAATAGTGGTTAAATAACAAAACTTACCTCTGAAAAGTGATCTTGGTGTTATTATACGGTTTTCTCACATAATTGCGACACAATTTAACAGAATCAACCAGCATAATTAATTATTTTCAAATTACACTGACGTAGGTGAGAAGCGAGTCTACCAATTTTCGTAGACTTTATTTGGTCCGTTCTGTACGGACAATGTGGCATCTAGACATGTATATAATCAAAGAACTTGATTTTAATAAGCATTATGTAAACCGAATGTAGTTTAAAATTGTACAAATTTTACGTAAGGAAACAATGTAGTGGAGTGAGAAGGTTATTACAAATAAATATTCATTGTGAGTTATGGAGCAGCAAAAACAGGCCGTCTCACAAAGCTGTCGTACCATTTCAACATCCCCGCACCTCACCTCATGACGATCCTGCCATGCGCGGGCGTTGCGGGTCCACGTTGTCGTACGTGACACTATTTGGAGCGCATTCATATTTGCGATCTGAACTCTGGCCATGGCGTCAATAGGAAAGCGTCTTATTACCAACGAAGGTGCGAACAAGAAGCGATAGGTAACTAGCCAAAATTATAATAATCTAGCTAGCCAGTTATTTGTGGTGGAATAGTCAGCTAGATAACCAGCTACCAACCGATAGTTGATACTTGATACCGTTAGCGTACCCACTGTAGTGTAGCTAGACTAGGACTTCAATGCTCAACTGCCCTGTGGATTACGTTCAAGTCTCGCCGCGGAACATATATTTATATTTAGATAAATAAAAAATAATGACTTTCGTTTTTATTTTCTTATTAATTTTATATATATTTGAAAATAAATGAATTTCCCTCATAACTATGTTGTACGTATTATTAAAAACTGCCGAAATATCTAATTTATACGAAACGAAACATCTATATTTTAAAGTGCCATCTATATCTATAAATTAAGAAACTGCTTAGCATCAGATTTAATTATGTTATACAACATTCAACAGTACAAGTAAATTAAAAGATATGCCATAGATGTCGCGCTTCTCCATTTTTTATTTTTAATGATGCTATCGTTGTAATTGTAAACCTTATTTTATACTCCATAATGTTTTAAATCGTATAGTTGATAATTCACTAATGTTGATTCAAAGCTTTAAATGAAATTTAAAACAATATTAACATTTTGATCTTGCATTTCACTCAGTCGACCTACTTTGAATTTAACAACAGACGAATAACCTTTGCTTTGTTTGTGTATTTATTCAAAAGTTTGTACGCTATAATTGTTCTATTTATCAAACTTATGCCGTGACAGTATGGTACTTGAGCGCTGTGTACGTACTATGTAAATATTATAAATTATATTTCGTCGCTTCATTCTTCAGATACAATTAACTTAGGTAGTCCCTTAACCTACTCGAGGAATTCGCACGTTTAGAGAATCGATCTATTTTAAATCGATTTTTTTTTCTGTTGGCAACTCCCACTCTCCATTTACCCACCGGTCCGATATCCACTTCATTCCTTAACTGTGCGAGGCAACGTTCGCACGTGCCTTTCTTTAAAAGTGAAAATAATTTATATTCTGTGATTACTATGCCAAAAAGAAAAAATTAAACGTTATCGACGCAAAATTAGAAAAATGGAACAGGAGCAGCGAAAATACAAACGAATCATTTATTCATCTTCTGAAAACTCTGATAAAAATTCGGGTTAGTAAATTTTTATCTCTAAACATTATAAATACTAAATTAAATACAATATTATAAAATAATGTATTTACATTTTACCTGGAGGTTGACCGTGTGTCATCACGAAGGTGATTTTAATACCGAGAGGTTAACCGCGTGTTAACACGAAGGTACTTTGAAATCGTTCGAGAAACGATTTTACAGCTATTTTTATAAAATAATTTTATAATATTCGTATATTAATATTCGAATATAATCTCGTATATAAAATTATATTGAGATAATATAAAATAATGTATTAAAATTAATGACCTGTGTTTACACATGGCCAGTAGATTAAATGTTACTATTCGAGCAGTAATTTATTTGCCTTTGGTTCGAATATCTACCCTCAATAACAATTATTGTTTTAGATAACGAAAATATTGATAACGCCGATATAGCCTTGAATTCAGAGTATCCAAGCGGCAAAAATAGTGCTTTAAATAATGAGGAGACAAAATATGACTCTGACCAAGAACCGGTAGTGTCAGAATTAGAGCCTGACATCCTTACTGCCTTAGGTGAGACCACGGAAGAGACACCGAAGTTGGGCCCGAAACTCCATGAAAAGTTAGCTCAGCTATGGCTACCTATACTTCGAAAAGGTATACATAAAGAGGCGAAAGAGAAATTACTCAAAGAGTACCTCATACCGGAAAACTGCTCGTTATTACAAGCGCCAAAATTAAACCCTGAGATTTCGGCTGCTGTTTCTGAGGGCACCAGGACTCGAGACAAGAGAGTCGAGGCCGTACAGCAACAATTAGGGTAGGGGATATCAGCTCTTAACAAAGGTCTCGAACTCCTCTTAGAGGATGGCAAAGACAGACTTCAAGCCGTTAAGTTTCTCAGTGACAGCTGTAGAATACTATGTGACCTACACTTTGTAGAAACGGAAGCAAGGAAGAAATTCGTGACCCCAGGATTGGATAAATCCTTTATGAATGTTATGCAGGAAGTGGATCACGATGACCTGCTCTTTGGAAGTAAGCTTTCAGAAAAAATAAAAGCCACAAGAGTGATCGAGAAACACGGTTTACAAATCAAGAAACCTGTCCAAAATTTGAAAACTTCTTACTCGTCACATCAACCATCAACGAGCCGCTCACGCCCCCAGGGAAACTGGGGAGGCCCTTCTCGCTCCTCGTCAAATAGAGGGGGGGAGGGGAGGGCCGAAGAAGAATACACTACCAAGTCGCAGAGCGCCACCAGGCACCAGCTTCCAACCGAGGCCGTCGGCGCAGAGCAAGCACCCTGCCACAGCTCAACAACAGTAAAGGTACACGCAGGAAGAATTCAGCATTTTTATAACTGCTGGTTTAACATAACTAAAAATTCTCAAATACTTAAGTGGATCTCAGAAGGGTATTCCATACCGTTTTGTAGCAAAGTAAGACGAACTTCAGTTCCACGTAATTCTGTACTCAGTAATGACCCGCATATGTTAAATTCTATCAAATCTTTATTGGATCTTGGTGCTATTTCACCCTGTCGCAGATCGATGGACGACTATGTTTCCAATGTATTTCTAGCTCCGAAATCTAACGGAGCAAAAAGATTTATCTTAAATCTTAGAACTCTAAATAGGTTTATTTCAACCACCCATTTCAAAATGGAAGACCATAGGACTGCGGCTAGACTTTTACCAAAATCCGGCTTCATGGCAAATATTGATATAAAAGAGGCTTACCTTTTGGTTCCAATTGCAAAAAAACCAAAACAGATATGTCGATTTCTTGGGTTTATATATAATTCAGTTGATATGTCATTAAGTTTGCCAAATGACAAACGACAAGTTATCACGCAGTATGTCAAAAAATTTGCCTTACTCCCCAAATGCTTTATCAGGGAATTGTCACAACTAATAGGAATACTTACTGCTGCCTGTCCAGCCGTTAGATATGGTTGGTTGTACACCAAAATTCTCGAACGTCAAAAATATTTAGCCTTACTAAAATACAACGATTTTGAAAAAAAAATCAAGCCTTCAGTCATTATTTTACCCGACCTGCTATGGTGGAAACAAAATATATTTTCCACTAGCAATTCACTGAAGCCAAACGAAAACTTTGCTTTAGAAATATATACTGACGCGTCCAATACAGGCGGGGGGCTGTTTGTGATGATAAAAGAGTAAACGGTGGATGGAAGGACGATGAATTATCCTTTCACATTAATTACCTAGAACTACTAGCCGTTTTCCTTGGCTTGAAATGCTTTGCTACTGCTCACTCTAATTGCTCTATTTTACTCCGCGTAGACAACACAACTGCCATGTGCTACATAAATCGTATGGGCGGAATACGGTTTCCATATTTAACTAATTTGACCAAAACTATTTGGCAGTGGTGCGAGAAGCGAAATATCTTCTTATTTGCATCCTACATTAACACACACGACAACCGCGAAGCTGATGAAGAATCACGAAAAGTAAACGTAGATACGGAGTGGGAATTATCGGAACGGGCGTTCGCAACAATTGTTCAGTCTGGGAGAACCTGAAATTGATCTTTTCGCTTCTCGTACCAATGCAAAATGCCTTCAATATATCTCATGGAAACCTGACCCCGACGCAATGACAATTGACGCTTTTACAGTTAACTGGAACGCGTCGTTCTTCTACGCATTTCCACCGTTCGCATTAATACTAAGATGTTTAAGAAAAATTATTAGTGACAAAGCCACCGGTATATTAGTATTTCCTTACTGGCCTGGACAAGCTTGGTTTCCACAGCTCAAAAGAATGCTCATTTCAGAGATTATTTTCTTTACACCCAATAGAGACCTTTTGCGTTGTCGTTACAGGTTACGTCACCGACTTCATGCCAGCCTTTCCCTGGCGGCCGCGACGCTCTCAGGGCAGCATTTAAGAGACTAAACACTCCGGACATAGCACTAGATCTCATGCTAGCATCCATCTCAGATAATACTATGAAACAATATTCTAGTACATACAGACTGCGGTGGCAATTTTGTTTAAATAACCAAGTAAATACTTATGACGCTCCATTTTCATCCATAATATCATTTTTAGTGGATCTGTACAAAAATGGAACATCATATGAATCCATTACTAGTCATCGCTCTGCCCTATCACTACTCCTCGGGAATAATATAGGGTCAGACGAACGAATTAAGCGATTAAAGGGTATTTATAGACAAAAACCTTCCCTTCCCAAATACGAAACTACATGGGATCCGAAAACTGTGCTTGATTATGTATCTAAATGGTATCCAAATAGCAATATAAGTCTAACAAAACTTACAAAGAAAATAACAATACTTTTTGCTTTGTGTACTTCTCACCGCGTACAAACTCTCTCTTTAATAAGAACTTCTAATATCATAAGATCCCCGTCAGGTGCTAAGATTTTTATAACTGACATAATAAAAACTTCAGCACCAAATCGAGAGCAACCAGTATTATTCCTGCCTTATTTCGTGGAAAACCCAAGCATATGTCCAGCTAGAACCCTAGACAACTATCTTATAGTAACATCTGTGCTGCGATCTGAAGGGTCTGACAATCTCTTGCTTACTCATAAAAAACCTTACAAAAAGGCATCGTCTCAAACTATAAGCCGATGGATAAAGCAGACATTAGCAGAGAGCGGTGTGGACGTGAATATATTCACTGCCCACAGCACTCGTCACGCTTCTACTTCAGCAGCGGCCTCCGCCGGAGTTTGTATTGACACCATAAGAAAAACGGCTGGATGGTCTACCTCATCTATGACATTCGCTAAGTTCTATAATCGCCCAGTAATGGATGAAGGAGAATTTGCCCGATCCGTCTGTGCGATTAATGCTAATACAAATAAGTAACAAGACAAATTATGTAATTGTTTGTTTAAATCATTAAGAAAAAGTTGGAAGTAGTATTATATTTTTGTTTACCCAAATTAAAGGTTTTTCCTAATACTATAAATGTTTTATTAACCTAAGAACATTTATCTCTGATTTTAACTACCTCTAAACATCTACCTAAGTTAATTGTATCTGAAGAATGAAGCGACGAAATATAATATGATATCAAACGAACTTCTTGAAGTGAAGTTCGATCATTATTATATGAGTCGCTTCATTCGAAGATACAAAGGTCCCACCCACCCATACCCGGCGTAAAAAACTTAAACAAATATCTCTAAAAAGAATGAAGTGGATATCGGACCGGTGGGTAAATGGAGAGTGGGAGTTGCCAACAGAAAAAAAATCGATTTAAAATCTATCGATTCTCTAAACGTGCGAATTCCTCGAGTAGGTTAAGGGACTACCTAAGTTAATTGTATCTTCGAATGAAGCGACTCATATAATAATGATCGAACTTCACTTCAAGAAGTTCGTTTGATATCATATAATTAGTGTAAATAATAAGTACTTTCTAGAACTAGAAAAATGCCAGGCAGTATTTGGACTTATTTTCAGAAAAATAATATTACTCAAAAAGGACAATGTAATATATGTAAAAGTCTTTTTAGTTATAAAAGTTCAACAGGCAATTTGACCGCCCATTTAAAATCTGAATGAAAAAAAAATTCGGAACACCCGGCAGCTCTATCACCAAGATCTTTGCAGGCTTCTCAGAATACATCCAGAAATGTGTGCGTTGCTGATGCTGTACCGTCTACGAGCACCTATCGTGGCGCTGATATCGTCGCGTCATCGAATCACATTGTACTCGTACCAGCGGAACCATTAGTTCACTTTCCTCCAACGAAGAGGCAACGCCAATTTGATGCTTATATTCCAAAAAAAAAATCCGCAGAGCAAAAAAAAAAGCAATTTACGCTGACTTAATGTATCTCTTCACTGACGCCTTTCATCCGTTTAATTTAGTAGATGAAAGATCTTTTAGGAAGTTTGCTCGGTGGATCCCAGGGTATGTTTTACCCACCCGAAAAACTGTCAGTAAGGGCTCACGCACACGGGCCACCAGCCACAACCACAAAACGCCGCCACTGGCATATTTCCTGTAATTTTCGTACATTTCATATGGACTCGCCGCACACGGTTGGCGCCGGTGGCGGCCACACGCTACAAATCGTCGCAGCTTGCTTCTTGTGGCCCGCACCGGCCACTAAATGCCGACACAAAACGCCACTCGCGCGATTCCGCGCCCCTCTCTCCCTTACCTCAGTAAACCTGTTAGAGTCGACGGTAACGCACGCACGTACTCTGTGGTTCATATAGATAGATAAAAATGAATGTAGAATTCTTTATATCAGATACAATCCCGTCCTGCGATTTGGGATTCAAAAAGTGATAGTTAAAGTAATAGAGGAGAAAAAGTGAAGGCCTGGGAAGAAATCTGCGACTTGTTTGTAGGACATTTTTCGAATAAAACCGCCAAAGAAAAGAACATTGAAGGTAAGTTTAATAAAATAATATAAAACCATAAATTTATATTCTATTTTCTTGCCACGGTATTGCTCCTTCATTCATAAAATAATCTTTTAACGTATCTCTTGCAGTAGACGCTCGTGTTACTGGCCAGCCTGTATTTTGTATATTTTCGAGTCCCACTATTTTCAAAGTGTGACGAAAATTGAAACCATCCCTTTTGCGAATAAAGTTGTGCAAAATGCAACAAGCTTTCACAATGTCTTCTGAAAAATGAACAGAAGCGTTTAATGGGCGATGTAATATTCTCCATTTGTTTGCTAGTACGCCGAAGGTACACTCAATGCAACGTCTGGCACGGCTTAACCTATAATTGAAAACTTTTTTGTCTGAATCCAAATATTTTCCAGCATATGGCCTCATCATATTTTCACTGAGGCCAAATGCTTCATCACCAACAAATGTATAGTTCAATGGTTGTCGATTACCGACCTGTCGTGGTGAGGGGATATTTAATGTCTTTCTGTGTATTTTATTACACAGTTCACTTTCCCTAAATATTGTAGAATCGGATGCTTTACCGTATGCCTCAACATCCACGAACGTAAAAAGTAAATTCGAGTCGCATGTTGCTAGAAGTACTATTGAAAAAAAATTTTTATAGTTAAAGTACAAGGAGCCGGTATCGAATGGATGAATAATTCTTATATGTTTCCCATCTATGGCGCCTAAACAATTAGGAAAATTAGTATTTTGAAGAAATCCGCTGGCAATTTCATTCCACATGTATTGGGTCGGTTTTGGAATACAAACGGCTTTTAAATAGTTCCAAATTAGTTGACATGTTTCTTGTACTATTTACCTTGCTGTAGAGGCCCCACGATGGTAAGAGAGTTCAAAATCATTTCATTTGTGATCATATCCTAGACGGCCCCAACCATTACATCAGATTTGATAGACCACAAATCCTCGCGAAAGAACACCGATTCCTACCAAGGATGATACATGAGACTATTGAAATTAAAAAATATCCTAATTTCAATAAAGAAGGAGGCTGGGTACTACCACCTGCTTGGGATCCTATAATCAATAAAATTAAAACTAAACCCAAGCATACCACTGCAAGACCTCAGGACATAGTAAGTTCATTTTGCATAGATCGAACCATAAACAATAATTAAAAAAGCTGAAGGTACTCCGGGTTTAACAATGACATCGGGACGTCAGTCATCTCAGTCCCCCGTGACCATGGGTGCTGGAAAGCGCCCGAAACATCGGGAATTAAAAATAAAAAGTAAAAATAAACGCGACAAAATCCGTAAAAGTAGTTTTAATCATGTGCAATGTTCGCGTAAATATAAGAAATCATTATGAGTTCAAAATCCTCAAACGAGCATCCAGTTCCTAGATACCTGAAACAATGAAGTATATTATATTTTTTTGTTGTTACAGTGACTAAATTACAGAGGAAGTGGAAGAGTCTGCGTGACAGTTTTAATAGAGAAAATGCAAAAAACAAGAACTATGCGAGTGGTTCGGCAGCAACAAGCAGTAAACAGTATATTTATTTCAATCATCTATCTTTCTTGAATTCCTTAAAAGAAGTGAGACCGCCTACCGATGTTACTTCCGAGTGTGCCACTAATGATGCGGAAACACCTCGCCCGAAAATAAACAGAAACATTAATATAAAAAGGGCCGAAAAATCAGAAAATGAAATTCTCAGTACACTTTCGGAAAATTTAAAACGTAAACATGATCAAATAAGCGACCAAAATGACCCCGATAAGCAATTTCTAATGTCGCTGCTTCCACAGTTAAAAAAAAATTGACGAAAATTCTAAACTTGATTTTCAATCAGAAATATTACAGTTAATTAGAAAGTACACACATAATCAAAATTATGAAACCTATTCGGCACAATATTATGGTTATTCTTCAGGAAATGTCAATATACACTCTACACAAAAAAGCTTCCACATCTGCCCAGCCTTCTCCACTTCATTCCGACAACTCTATGCTTGACATGTCATACTCTACACAAAACGCTTCTACATCTATTCCGTCTTCACCTATAATTCAGCCTTCTCCAACTCATTCATATTATTCTGACCAGTCTATGGACAACAGTTCTGTTATCGAAGACATGTTCCGTGATGATGACGAGTGATAACAAATTATAATCAACACACAATAAATAAATACAAAGACCTACGTGTTTTATTTGTTAACTAGCTATTCTCTAGTAGAATAAACAAAGCAATTGTGCCCCATGGGTGAACTATCAGCAATCCTTTATTAAAATCGGATCAGCGCGCGGTATAGGCGTGTAACAGACAGACAGACAAATAGGCTTAGATTTTAATACGCAGTTATAATAACATTATAAGTAGTGATTATAAATAAAGTATAGATTATTATAGTGTTCTGTGGAGTTTTACGCTAGTGATTATTTCCACTTACCTTAATGTGATAGCTAGTCTTTCCGCAGGTGCAATGCTTTTCCGCATTTTGGTGTCGTGGTGCTTTAATCCAGCATATAATAGAGCATGTAGTTCCCAAAACGTACCTATACTTAAACGGAAATGTTTGAAAAACTTTTTTGGATGGTTTAGAAGATTATCGAAATGTTCGTTGCATTTGTGTACATTCGTTAAAATTGGATGTATCCAATAACTACGGTTTCGTCCTCTACGACGACGTCTTTTTATCAAAAGTAGCGCAATTAAACCTTCTTCGTCCGAGTCCATTATGATACTGCATGCGTGGGTTAAAAAAAGTAGCAGCCAACGACCTGTTATATCCCTTTTTTACAAGGCAATAAAACATTAGTAAGCATTTATTTATTCACACAGTACTTTTCCTTAATATAGCTATAGTCAGCAATTATATTGTTATATTGTTTCTTTCCATGTTCATTTTTAATTCCATTTTAATGATCAGTTAGACTCAGAGCCCCGGGTAGATCGGACATAGATTCCGAGACTTATTAGAGTTCGGAAGTCAAGGACTATATTAATTTGGTGTGTGAACTTTTTGCAATAAACCTTTAGGTTTATTTACTGTTTTTTTTTAAAAACTCAAACGGGATCGGCCTCCTAACAAATTGGTGTCAGAAGTGGGATGCCAAACAGGTCATAAAAGACTTTGGCATCCGAATCCGAGGTCCCCGAAATCACCAAGGTCGACATTAAGCCTTAGCCGTGCCCAAGCCTGCGCCTATTACAATTTTGGACGACGATCAGCCTCCGCTCTGAAACGTGAGCCCGCTCCGCTCACACCTAGTCCTGTAAAAACCCGTCTGGCCGACGATCAGCCTCCACCAGGAGCCCGCACCAGCTGGGTCTAACTCACCAACATAAGAAAAACATTTTTGAAGAATATTCTACATCTTCCATTCCTACCATTTCCCACGACGCGACGAAGTCACCGTGTCAGCGATTCCGCCTGCCAGCCGCCACGAGTGTAACGTGTCACCGAGCTATTGTTACGAGTAAATGCAACGTATAGAAGTTATTATTTTCCTGTAAGTCGTTTTGTTTTCTAATTTAAATTTATAAAATTACTTTATTTTACACTGTTTTGTACTATAACCTTTTTTACTTCATTTTATTGTGATTATCTTATATAACTTCAAATTTTAATTTTATTTCTATGTCGCTTAAAGCAGAAAAAAAGTAAAGACTAATAAAATAATAAAAAGTAAAGAATATGTCAGAAAAAATCACACTTTCGTTTTTGACGAAATTTATAAAATCTTATAATGGGGAGAAGGAATCCCTCCCCGCTTTTCTTACCAACTGTGATAATGCAATGTCGTTAGCTACGGCAGAACAACAGCCTATTTTGTGCAAATTTATTATCTCACAGCTAGAGGGAAAAGCTCAGGTCGCATGTAGTTTAAAAAAGTTTTGAAACGTGGAACCAAATAAAGTCATTTCTTCGTTCTACTTTTGGGGAGAAAAAACACTCAACACATTTATTATCAGATTTGCAAAACTGCAAACAGTCTTCCGATGACGTTACTAAATTTTCTTTAAGATTAGAACAAATTTTAACAAAAATTCAGTCAGATATACACTATAGCTGCAAAATTCCTGACGAACTTCTAGGTAGTTTAGCCGCCATGGAGGACCTAGCACTAAACACATTTTTATTAGGGTTGAACCCTGCTATTTCCACTATTGTTAGGTGTAGAAACCCTCAAACCTTAAACGAAGCTGTTCAATTAGCTATAGATGAAGAAAAATTACAGAATCTTCAAATGTGTTCAAAAAATTCAATGAAGCAGTGTAATATATGTAATAAAGTAGGTCATGTCGCTACTCAATGTTTTAAAAACAGAAACCATTCTAATTTTAAACACAATAAACAAATTTCTCATTTATCTAGCTCTAACTCTGATAAATTAATTTGCAACTATTGCAAAAACATAGGGCACACTATTGATCAATGTAGAAAGCGACAATATAATATGCAACATCGTCAAAATTTTAGTAAAAATTTTAATCGTAACCCTAATACTAGTTCTAACTATATAAATCGTAGCTCAAATAATAATTCTAATTTTGTAAGCCGTAACCCTAACCCTAATTCTAGTTCTAACTCTGTGCCTATGCACATGACATGTAATAACGACGACACTATCGATAATTCTAACTCTTTAAACTAAATAAGATTTCGGATACGTGTCTGCCGAAATCGTACTGTGGTAATGACACGAAAACAATTAATAATACTATTTCTACTAACTTTTACAAAAATCATGCTAAATCTTATTCTAATTCTAATTCATCTCGGCGATGCATTAACAAGCAACAGAGTCATTTTAATTTATTTACATCTCAGCAACCCAAGGAGGTGAAGCTGAGTCTTACTAGTTCTCATGCACCTCAGTTGACCGAAAAGGTACAACCGAGTCTTACTAAGTCGTTTACTATATCTACATCTCAGCAGCCCAAAGAGGTTAAGCCAAGTTTTAATGAGTCTTATTCTAGTTCTATTCCTATTTTTGAAACGAGCATAAATACATGCAAGGTTACGTTACCATACACGAATTTATTAACAAAATATTCTCCTAAGTGTCTCAAACTTCTTATCGACACCGGTGCAAGCGTATGTGTCATAAAGCAATCATGTTTGAAAACGAAACATGAACTTCTTAAGGACAAAGTAAGAATCAAAGGTATAAATGATACGGACACATACAGCGAAACAATAGGCTCAACCTACTTACAATTTTTATTAAGTGATGAAACTTACGAGCACAAATTTTATGTCATTAACGATAGCATAAATCGTAGTTACGACGGTATTATTGGTACAGATTTTCTTAAATATTTTAATGCTAATATAGATTATAGTTCTAAGATAATGACTCTTTGCGGTCACCAAGTTCCTATTATATTTCATCAGCCAACTTACACCGTTCCAGCACGCTCAGAAGCAGTCATTGAATGCGCTATATCAAACTACTCGCTCGAGACTTATCGGAATAATGAAGCCTTAGTTCTAGATCACACCTTAAGCAAGGGTATTTACGTCGCGAATTGTATAGTATCGGTAAAACCAAATAAAATGGTTAACATCACTGTTTTAAATACGACTGATACAGACATAGAAATTAAAGATTATTCCGTAGAATTAACACCTATAGATTACGATAATTCTATTTCCTGCGAAAATTCAATACCTAGCAAATCTATGTATTCCGTTTCGACTTCCAAATCTGATCGAATAAATCGAGTATTGAATCTTTTACGCTGCTCTCATCTCAACGATGAAGAAAAGAAAGCACTTCTCAACTGCTGTTCCGATTATACGGATATCTTTCACCTCGAAGGTGAGCCCCTCTCTTTTACGAATGGCATCCAACACTCCATAGATACGGGTAACGCACCCCCAGTTCACGTAAAATCGTATCGCTTCCCCGAGTGCCACAAGGAAGAAGTTGATACACAAATTCGCAAAATGCTAAATCAAAATATAATTCGTCCCTCTGTTTCGCCTTGGAGCGCCCCGGTATGGGTAGTTCCGAAAAAAATTAGACGCTTCTGGCAAGAAAAAGTGGAGAATAGTCATTGATTATCGTCGCCTTAATGATATCACGGTTTCAGAAAGTTATCCGCTGCCTCTTATCACTGATATCCTAGACCAATTAGGCCATTCGAAATATTTTACAACCCTCGATCTTGCTAGCGGTTTCCACCAGATAAAGATGGATGCTAAAGATGCTCCAAAGACGGGATTTACTATTAGTACTAACTCTAGCATGTCCGGACACTATGAATTCACTAGAATGCCCTTTGGTTTGAAAAATGGACCCTCAACCTTCCAGCGACTCATGAATACTGTCTTATCAGGACTACAAGGTCTACACTGCTATGTATATCTAGATGATTGTATAATTTATAGTCAAAATTTGAATCAACATATGGAAAAGTTAAAATTAGTGTTTGATAAGTTCCGCGAATACAATTTAAAATTGCAACCAGACAAGTGCGAACTCTTAAGACGTGAAGTAACTTATCTTGGTCACATTATCACCGACAAAGATGTCTCTCCAAATCCAGACAAGGTAAAAGCAGTATCGCAATTCCCAATTCCTAATAATCCTAAAGAAATTAAATCCTTCCTAGGCTTAATAGGCTATTATCGCCGATTTATTGATAATTTTTCCAAATTAACGAAACCTCTTACTTCTTTATTAAAAAAGGACGCTAATTTCCACTGGTCTCTAGAGCAACAAACCACTTTCGATACTCTAAAAGAAAAATTAATCACTGCTCCGCTGCTCCAATACCCAGACTTCTCTCAGCCGTTCATAGTAACCACAGACGCAAGTAATTACGCCGTAGGTGCAGTTCTATCCCAAGGTCCTGTCGGCAAGGACAAGCCAATAGCTTACGCATCGCGCACTTTAAATCGTGCCGAAGGTAATTATTCAACTACAGAAAAAGAACTCCTAGCCATTTTATTCGCAGTCAAAACATTTCGCCCTTACCTCTACGGTAATAAATTTAAAATTGTCACCGACCACAGACCATTAGTATGGTTATTTAATGTCAAAGACCCAGGCAGTAGACTCATTCGTTGGCGCCTAAAACTCGAAGAATATGACTACGAAATCATTTATAAACAAGGCCGTTTAAACTCCAATGCTGATGCGTTATCTCGCTGTCCCGTTAATGTTATAGACATTAATACTTTAAATAACTCTAGTTATGAAAAATATTTTAAGGATCAATTCACTAATCAAATTTCTATTTCAAATACAGTAATTATAGAATGCACTGAAGGATTACATTTGTCTAAGTTAAAATATATTGCGTGTCCGGTCTCTTTAGATTTCGACTCATCTATACCTCACTGTGAAGAAATATTATCGCAGTTGGATAAGCCGGAGGAATTGCTAAATTCCGAACGCGAACCTTTTTACAATTCAATGTGTTAAAGATAAGAATAAATACTTCTATTTTTTATATACTAAAGTTCACCATTATGAAGAAACCAAATTTAAAGACATCTACAATTTAATGATAAAACTTAGAGATAAAATTTTAGCCGAAAATCCCGATATCACAGATCTCGCCTTGTCAGACTTTTCAGACCCATTCTCTAAGTCAGTGTTCCGCAAAGTGTGTACCGCGGCACACTGGTGTACCGTGATCATTAGTTGGTGTGCCGTGGAAACATAAGGTTATCTTATAAAATTATTTTTAGTAAGTAAGTAAGGGTAAGTAAAATACCTACACAAAAAACGCGAGCGCACGAGCGAGGCGTTTTGTTTCGTTCATTTAATTTAGCTTGCTACATATTTATTTATCTATGATTTAATTCTGTGGTTTCGTCAGGTGCAGGCGGCGGCGGCCTGCGCGTCGCGGGAGGCGGGGACGGAGGCTCTCCGCCCCGCTACCCGAACTCTCTGGCTCACCAGTCTGTCAGTATGAGTACGAGTGCGCCGTTTAACCGCACGCTTTTGTTTCGTCGCGTATTATTATGCTTATTATTCTAAGCGTAACATAAATATTAAAATAATGGATAAATTCATTAAACGTAGTGTAAGTTTGTCAGGTGAAAGTAACGAAGAAGAAAAAGAGTCAATGAAAAAGAAACCCAAAATTGTTCATCGAAAATATGACGAAAGGTACATAAATACGGTTTTACATATTGCGGAGACGAATCTTGTCCTACCCCAAAATGTTTTGTTTGCGGAGAAACGTTGGGTAATAATTCGATGGTGCCCAGTAAACTAATACAACATTTAACTACTAAACACCCATCAGTAGCCCAAAAAGACAAAACATATTTTCAACGTTTGAAGGACCAATCGAAGAAGCAGGTAAATCTCACGAGTTCGTCTTTCAAAACCTCAGACATAGCACAAAAAGCAAGCTACGTAATCACTAATATGTTAGTTAAAGCTAAAAAAGGCGCACTCTCTTGCTGAAACTGTAGTTTTACCTGTCTTCAAAGAAATTGTTAAGATAATGTTTAGCCAAGAAGCTACTAAAGACATTAAAAAAAATACCTGCATCGGCAGAAATGATTTCACGCCAAATCAATGACATATCTAATGATATTAAATCGACGTTGATTGAAAAATTAAGAGTTAGTGGAGTTTTTACGCTACAAGTTGATGAGTCCACTGACATCAGTGGTCACGCGCATCTCAACTTAAATGTTAGATACATTGGTACTATACTAAGGTTGCTGAAAAAAATCCTAATGTTCAAAAACAGCATTGTTTTTACATAGGGAAGGAAGCTCTTATGACGAAGTCTATGCCTGACGTTCTATTGCGCGTTCTTCAAGAAATTATCAAAATCGTCAATTACATCAAGTCGCGACCGCTGAACTCTCGTATTTTTAATGCACTGTGTCATGAAATGGGGGCAGATCATCAGTCGCTTTTGTTTCATACACAGGTACGGTGGCTTTCTCGCGGCAAAGTACTTTCCCGAATTTATGAGTTGGAAAATGAGACTGAGATGTTCTTGCAGTCCCAGGGTTCAGATTATGAACATTTATTTAAAAAAAGAAGAATGGCTAGCAAAACTTGCATATCTGACGGATATATTTGCTCACTTAAATGAGCTCAATAGAAAAATGAAAGGCAGAAATTCCAATATTTTGACATCGTCGGATAAAATTGAAAGCTTTCGCGCTAAATTGGAACTATGGATCAGTCTTGCTACGAATGGTAATAATGAAATGTTCCCAAATGTCATTGCAGCTGACATAGAACAAAAGGTGCAGGCTTTGATTGTCAAACACTTAAAGCTTCTTGCAGAGAAAATGAATTTCTATTTCCCTAAGCGTGATCTGTAACCTATGGACTGGGTTCGAAATCCATTCTCCGAGAACATTCCTTTCGGCCACTTACCAATAAATGAGCAGGAAGAACTGATGTAAATGAAAACGGATCGCACATTAATATTAAAATTTTCTGAAACTGATTTAGAACATTTTTGGCTATGTGTGAAAAAATAGTATCCTCTGCTTTCTAAGCATGCTATTGCAATACTTTTACCGTTTGCAACAATCTATTTGAGTGAATTAGGATTTTCGACTCGTACCACGATAAAAACCAAAAAACGGAAACGCCTCAGGACGATCGACGAAGAAATGAGAGCAGCCTTGTCAGCGATAACTCCAAATTTAGACCGTCTGTGCTCAATTAAACAGTCTCATGTTTCGCATTAAATAAATTTTCTGAAATTTAAAGTTTAGGTTTGTTGATTAGTTAAAAAACTGTTTTTTAATTTGTGGTGTACCTCAAATTTTTTTCATTTTCCTAGGTGTACCTTGAACAGAAAAAGTTTGCGGAACACTGCTCTAAGTTAGCTTATATTAAGGTATATAATATGATTGCCTATATTTTCCATAATACTAATATTAAAATCCATATTTATAAAAATCAGTTAATTTACCCTACTCCCATCGAAATCCCTAAAATTTTAAAAGAGAATCATGATTCACCTATTGCGGGTCACCCAGGATCAAATCGTATGTATAAAAGAATTAAAGCCGCCTACTACTGGAAGGGTATGCGCTCTGATATTGTAGATTACGTTAAGAAATGCCAATTATGCCAAATTAATAAGCCGCTGAGAATTTCCAATAAGGCTCCAGTGGAGATAACTTCCACTTCTACTAGACCTTTTGAACGATTAGCCCTCGACATCGTTGGTCCTTTGCCCGACGCAGGTTTCCAAAAATTCAAATTTATCCTTACATTGCAAGACGATTTAACTAAATTTTCAAGCGCTTATCCCCTGGTCACAGCTACCAGTGAAGAAATAGCCAGAAATCTCGTACATTTTATGTCTCTTTTCGGTTTTCCTAAAACGATCTTAACAGATTTGGGTACGTGTTTCACGTCCGATTTATTTAAACAACTGACTCAAATTCTAAAGGTTAAAGCCTTATTTACCACTCCTTATCACCCACAAACAAATGGAGCCCTAGAACGCTCACATGCTACTTTAAAAGAATACCTAAAATCCTTCGTAAACGAAAACCAGAACGATTGGCATTGTTATCTATTTACCGCAATATTAGCTTATAATACCACTCCACATTGCACCACTAATTTCACCCCTCATGAATTATTATATGGTTATAAACCTAACATTCCAAATTCCCTATATGAAACAAATAATAATACAACCTATAATGAATATATTCGAGCTTTACAATATCGAATGCGTTTTAGTAGAGAAAAGGCCATTCAAAATATAATTAATAGCAAAGAAAAATCGAAACAATATTATGATGCTAGTTCACGTGAAACTTCTTATAAAATTGGCGACTTAGTGTATATAAAACATCATCACCGGCTCCGTAAGGCTCTATCACCTATATGGAAGGGCCCATATAAAATTATAAAAATAAATAATAAGCATAACGTAACGTTACAAATAGGTCGTAAACATGTTAAGTACCATACAAACGAAATTAAGCCTGCTATTCAAACTCCCTAAATTTAATTAACTTTGTATATTTTTTCAGAGCTTTATGCTATGGAAACCAAAGCCATGCTGAATCGAGGATCATACCTATATCACATAGCCCTGGAATTTATTTTGAACCTATTACGCATATTAATTTTTATAACGATTATTGGAAAGTCATAACACATATAGACCTTATATCCTTAGATCCTTATCTCAATAAAATAGAAAATTTATTATATGATACTTTAAATCTTTGTTCCAAAATAAATACTGACGAATTTTCCCCGTGTAAAGATTTTTCTACTCCTATAGAGACTTTAATAAAATATAATTACGTCAAATTGCAATCTCTAGCACATTTAATCAATAATAACTCATCGCCAAACAAAGTCAAAAGATCTTTGGAATTTGGAGGCGAAATTCTTAAATTTTTCTTTGGTACTCTAGACGCAGATGATGCGCGAAAATATGATGCCGCGATAGAATCCTGTCGGAAAAGTGAAACGGAATTATTTAATTTATTCAGAGATAATATTCATATAATTAAATCCACTATAAATAATTTTAATTCCACTATTTATAAATTAAATCAAAACGAATTAAAATTTAACTCCCAAATTAATAAAATGAATTAAATTTTGTCAAAAATTACAAAAACCGATAACTTACTCCTTCACATTTCTAGGATAAATAATTTACTAAACGTAATTGAAGGCTCCTTACTTGCTATTTCTAATTTACTAGACACAACTATAAATGCTATTTTATTTTCCAAGGTAAATGTTTTGCATCCTAGTGTGATTAGCCCTTTAAGTCTTTACAATGAATTAACTAAGCACATTAATCAATTAAACAAACGTTTAGATTTTCCAATGCAATTGAACATACATAATATTCATTCTTTGATTGACGTCTCGAAACTTAGTTCATATTATTATAACAATAAGATTGTTTTCAGTTTGCAAATTCCACTGATAACACCTGATAAATTCACTGTTTATAAAAATATCCCATTACCGACTCCTCACGACGAGTCACATAATATGCAAACTTTTGCACTTATTCAACCTTCTAATTCTTATATTGCTTTAAGTGACGATAGAATACATTATACTATGTTTAATAACTTAGATGATTGTAATTTCATTAATAATAACTACTCTATTTGTGAACTATCAACTATAACGTCTAGTGTAAGTAATCCAAATTGCGAATCGAAACTACTAACAGAAGTAACTCTTACCTTACCTTCTGATTGTAACGCTAAGTTATTATTTGGCCAAATCAATATTTGGCATAAATTAAAAAATAATAGATGGATTTATGTACAATCTAATGTAAATAAATTAACTATCAAATGTGATGACGACATTACTGATCATTCTATTATTCGTACAGGTATTGTCAAATTAACCGAAAATTGTATCGGTTATTCCAAAACTATTCAATTATTGCCAACTAGTACTTACCAATTTTCGATCAAATCAACCATAGATATAAGTTTTGATATAACGAAAGATGATTGTTGCAAAAAGGACATATTTAATAAAAGTTTACCACATTTAACGCCAATCTCATTAAGCAAAGTTAACTTGGATTCTTTAAAATATGCAAATCATCAACTGGATAGTTTAGAATTTGAATTAAATAACCTTCAAAAAGAATCACATTTTATTAAATATGGCTCATACTATTCAACATTTACTTATGTTTTAATTGTACTACTATTTTTATACCTTGCCTATAAATTATTTAAATGCTGCAGAAATCGTCACGATAACAGTGGATATTGTATACAAATATTTAATCAATGTAATAACAAAAAGTCATCGAAACATAATTCTAAAATTTTAAATTCAATTGAGATGACCGATAAATCGACATCTGAAGAAGATAATATCTCGCTAAAATCTTTAGCAAATTGTACTAATTATAAACCTTATAAAACTGTACACAAGGTTCATTCTTCCTCTCGAAGAAATCTTAATTTCTAATTTTATTCAATTTTAGTTTTAAGATTTTTGTGTTAATACAAATAATCGATTTTATTATCATATAATTTTAATTTCTACTCTGTCATTTTATATTTTGTAATTGCTATATTTTTCTATTTTCAATGCAATCTATGTAATTGTAATTGAAATTACTAACTTGTTTAATACAAGTTTATTTCTAATTTTACTATTTCGTTCAAAATACTTTTAATTTTAGATTTTACTAATTCATTTTTGTATAATTTTATTATTTAGTTTTAAATTGATTATTTTTTGAATTTTACTCTGTCTTTTTGTATAACTTAGTTAGTTAACGAATAATACCATTGTATCTTTATGTAAAATTGATTTACAATATTTTACTACAATTTTTAATTTCCTATCTTCATATTTTGTAATGCCTTCCGATCTCTAATCGCTTTTCTATTTCGAATCTTCGCTTTATCTTAATTTAGAAAAAGCTCAGTCAAAAGGGGGGAGCTGTTATATCCCTTTTTATAAGGCAATAAAACATTAGTAAGCATTTATTTATTCACACAGTACTTTTCCTTAATATAGCTATAGTCAGCAATTATATTGTTATATTGTTTCTTTCCATGTTCATTTTAATTCCATTTTAATGATCAGTTAGACTCAGAGCCCCGGGTAGATCGGACATAGATTCCGAGACTTATTAGAGTTCGGAAGTCAAGGACTATATTAATTTGGTGTGTGAACTTTTTGCAATAAACTTTTAGGTTTATTTGGTGTTTTTTTTTTTAAAAACTCAAACGGGATCGGCCTCCTAACAGACCGCAAGTGGCGACCACCGGCCACAAGTGGCTGTAGCGAGCTTCAGCTACCTTTGCGGCCGCTTCTAGCTTCTCGTGGTGGCGTTTGTGGCTGTGGCCGGAGGTCCGTGTGCGGCGACACTAATAGCATGCTTCCAGAAATCTACCACAAAACTAAGATGATAATTCAAAGCAAAGTATCAATAGAAGCCGAAACCATTTGCATAATAACCGACTTGTGGACATCCACCTCTACGTATAGCTATATAGCAGTTACAAGATATTACATAAATAATGATATGGAAATCCAAACTGTGTTGCTGGACTCCTGCAAGTTTTTTTGGGAATCACACTGCCGACAACATCGCAGCTGAGATCAACCGAATATGTGAAGAATGGGGCATATTAAAAAAAATTACTTTTCTATTACCGATAATGCGTCTGCTATGCTAAAAGCAATGAAAGAAATTTTACAACAAAAGCACTACGGATGCTACGCCCATTCGTTAAACCTAGTTGTGCAATTTAGTTTGAAAACGCTGTAATCTTCCATTGATAAAGTGAGAGAAAGCGTTATTTTAAACAGAGCACCTGATAACACTGATAAA